TTAAACTCCAAGATTAAACTCCAAGATTAAACCTGAACTCCAAGATTAAACTCCAAGATTAAACTCCAAGATTAAACCTGAACTCCAAGATTAAACTCCAAGATTAAACCTGAACTCCAAGATTAAACTCCAAGATTAAACTCCAAGATTAAACCTGAACTCCAAGATTAAACTCCAAGATTAAAACCAGAACTAAAATTCCAACTCCAGACCTAAACCTCCCCTCTGCTCCCTGTTTTTGATTTCCTGGGGGGGGATGTGGGGGTGTGGGTGGTTTCAGATCTCACCTGTTGTCCCCGTATTTCCTGCGGACGGCTCGCACCTCGCGCTCCTCCTGATACCCCCGCCAGTTCTGGAAGTGCCGCAGGGGCCGCTCCACCGGGAACGCCACCGGCACGAAGCGCCGCTCGCCTCCGGAACGTTCCGCGTAGGAGTAGCGCAGCTTCTGGAACTCGAACGACAGCAGCTCCTCCCCGTCCTCATCCTGGAGGAAAACCATTAATTTACAGCAATTTACGCAAAATCAGCAATTAACAGCAATTTACGATCAGTTAACGGTGTGTTCCGGAACGTTCCGGAACGTTCCGCGTAGGAGTAACGCAGCTTCTGGAACTCGAACGACAGCAGCTCCTCCCCGTCCTCATCCTGCCAGGAAATCAGCAATTAACAGCAATTTATGCGAAATCAGCAATTAACAGCAATTTACGATCAGTTAACGGTGATTTCCGGAATGTTCCGGAACGTTCCGCGTAGGAGTAACGCAGCTTCTGGAACTCGAACGACAGCAGCTCCTCCCCGTCCTCATCCTGGAAGAAAACCATTAATTTACAGCAATTTACGATCAATTAACGGTGTTTCCAGGCAGGAATTGCTCAATTAACGGTGTTTTCCGGAATGTTCCGGAATGTTCCGCGTAGGATTAACGCAGCTTCTGGAACTCGAACGACAGCAGCTCCTCCCCGTCCTCATCCTGTGAGGAAATCAGCAATTAGTGTCAATTTACACTCAATTAATGGTGTCTCCAGGCAGGAATTGCTCAATTAACGGTGTTTTCTGGAATGTTCCGGAATGTTCCGTGCAGGAATAACGCAGCTTCTGGAACTCCAACGACAGCAGCTCCTCCCCGTCCTCATCCTGCCAGGAAATCAGCAATTAACAGCAATTTACGCGAAATCAGCAATTAACAGCAATTTACGATCAGTTAGCGGTGTGTTCCGGAACATTCTGGAATGTTCCGTGCAGGAATAACGCAGCTTCTGGAACTCGAACGACAGCAGCTCCTCCCTGTCCTCATCCTGGAAGAAAACCATTAATTTACAGCAATTTACGCTCAATTAACGGTGTTTTCCGGAATGTTCTGGAATGTTCTGCGTAGGAATAACGCAGCTTCTGGAACTCCAACGACAGCAGCTCCTCCCCGTCCTCATCCTGAGGAAAAATGGTCAATTAATGTCATTTTGTGGTCAATTAATGGTGATTTCAGGGAAGAATTGCTCAATAAATGATATTTTAAAACAGGAAGGGAAGGGACTCCTCACCATCCTCACCCTGGGAACGACAAAGTAGATTAAATAACGTTATTTTATACTCAATAAATAACTTTCTCAGGAAGGAAAAGGACTCCTCACCATCCTCACCCTGAAAATAGCAAAGAAAATTAAAAAATGTTAGTTTATACTCAATAAATCATATTTTCAGGCAGGAATTACTCAAATCAACGACATTTTCAGGCAAGAATTACCCAATAAACGGTATTTTCGGGCAGGAAGGAAAGCGGCTCCTCCCCATCCACGCGCTGGGAACAATCAAAATAATTAATTAATCACGATTTTCCACTCAATTAACAATATTTGATCCTCTCACCTGATCCCTCCGGAGCGGCACCAGCTCCACGGAGCCGTTGTTGGGGGTGGGCACTACTTTGGCCAAGGTGGCTTTTTGGGGACACGGTTCCTGGTGGGAAAGAGGGAAAAAATATGGGAATTCCCATCACGGGAGGAACAGGGTCGGGATCAGAACATTCCCGATCCCAAACCACCCAAAAATCCCCCCGAAAATCCCCAAAATATCCCCGATCCCAACTCCTCCCCAAAATCCTCTTCAAAGGGCAAATATCCCGAGGCCCAAATCCCCCCCAAATTCCCCCTCACACCCCCAGCCCCAAATCCCCCTCAGACCCCAAAACCCCCTCAGACCCCTCACATTCCAAACCCCAAATCCCCTCATAATC